TCCGGACGCGCAGGCTCAGCGGCCGTGGCTCACGGGCCCAGCCGCTCTGCGGCATGTGGGATCTTCCCGGACCGGGGCACGAACCCATGTCCCCTGCGTCGGCAGGCGGACTCCCAACCACTGCGCCACCAGGGAAGCCCAGCACCTGCATTTTAACAAGAGCCCGGTGATGCCCCCCGGCCCCGCCCCTGCTCACTGCCCTCGCCGACCCGTCCCTTTCTTCCTTAAAGTGCAGGCCCTGGTTCAAGACAGGATCGTGGGAGGGTCCACAGCACAATTTTGCACAGAATGATTTCTAAGCTTCTAGATGGTAACTTCAAGGAAGAAGTAATGTATATTTGGTGGCAGTAAACAGGCTACACCAACATTCCAAAATATTCCAGTAAAAAATCATTAGCTTGGTCAGATGCTTTTAAAGGAGACGTGGGCTGAGCTTGGTGGAGCCGGGCAAACCAGGAATTTACAGAGTATCTCCAGGGAGCGAGCCCCCTCTGCCCTTCCCTCAGTCATCCAGACTGGGAAGGAAACTGGAGTGAGTGGGGCTCAGTGCCTAAGAAAGGGAGCTCTGTGCTTTGTTAGAACTCCCCACCCTTCCAGCCGCCAGCCCTACTTTCTATGAGAGGATCCACTCTCGCTCTTACCAATTCTCCAAATGTTGCATAAAATGTAGACATTTTCCCCATCCTCTGACTTTCTATCATAAACACCAATCTCTAAGTGGAAATCTGATTTTGACTCGGAATCTGTATCCTGAAAGGCTTTGGGCCTCTGAAAATTTAGCTTTTAGGAAAAGGAGGCAAACACTTGGTAAATCAATGACAGACACTTATACCAGCATATACCCATGGCCGCGCCTCAGGTCTGAAGGGAGGGTCTTACCTGAATCCTTCTTTACAGACAGTACATTTCTCTGGTTCATCTATGCACTTCTTACAGCTTGGGTGGCATTTAAGGCAGTTTTTCTGATCTGGAGAAAAATAAGAGGAAAAGAGAAGAGGTGGGAAGAGTGGATGTGGATCAAACCCGGGCAAATGAGACTCAGGTGTTCCAAGGCGGGGTTGATGGAACAGCCGTCACCGGCGTTGTCTCTAGACGGGTGACACGGTGACCGACCGCCAGAGGCATGTGGAGACCGCATGCCCAGGTGTCAGATCACAGGCCTCGCACCTCTTTTCTGGAGTGAAGTCCTCACACGACCTTGAGGCTTGGAGGTGGGCCCTTTCCAGAGGAAACGTGCTCTAGTCCTGCATCTTCCCCCCGGGACTGGAGCCAGCGGAGCAGAGTTTAGCGAGGTGCCAGTCTTCCTAAGTGTGACCGGTGGGGCCTGAGGGTTCCCCTGAGCGACCCCACCCACCCAGGGCCCTCACAGGGGTCTTTACTGACACATTGGCGGTCACCTGCACAGACATGAATCTCTGACATCCACACCTTGGGGAAGCCCTGGGTCTCGGTGATTACCCAGGTCACTCATACTGGCACCCGGTCAGCACCACCCTGTGCTCGGGGCCTCCTCCTCGGGGCCCCACAGGTGGCATCACACACACGCTGCAGGGGCTCCGTGAGGGCGCCTGGGGGTGACTCTCAGGGTGACCGAGGTGGCTGGTTTTTGCCCAGGGGTGGGGTGGGGGGTAGGGATGGAGGAGCCTCTGCCCCCAAAACAGGTCTGATTGCAGCTCAGGGCAGGTGTTTGCAATGCCTGTGAAATGTGTCTTGCATGACTCTGTGTCCCCTCTAAAGAATGTGGTTATTCCATGGCTTTATATGTCCTTAAGGATCCCTGGCTCCTTCCCCAGAGGAGTGAGAGCAACGCTGTGACGGGACCCCTCGTGCAGGATGCAGGCCAGAGGCGAGCTCTGGGAAGCGCTGCCCCCTCCCTGCACAACGGCCAACACGTCATCTGAAAACTGTCCTCCATCAATTTAACCCAAGCCCTCTCTTTGGCCTCTTCCAGGCCGAGGTGAGTGTTCAAACCTTGGCATGAGGTCCCGGCCCCAGAGCCCAACCACTCCACTTCCCAGGACAGGCAGGATGGCAGGACGCCTGTGTTGCTCTGAGTTCACTGGGTCACTGCTAGCTGTGGGCCCTTTGGCCTCACTCGGCTTCACTTCCCCACCTGCAAGGTGAGGAAAGCGTCACCCACCTCTTGGGAGTGTGGTCACTATGTAAAGTGCACAGCCAAGACCAACCTGTCCTCCTGAGCCCAGTTATGCCCGGCAGCAGGGTCCTCTTCATTCATGGGGACCCGCAAACCTCCCGGGCCTTAAACCCTGGTTTCAGCTTAGCGGCTCTTGCTGGGAGGGGCTTTCACCCAGTTTCAACCACCAAGGCCACAAGCCGGTGCTGGGTCCCGCACCCTGCCCAGCGCCCACATGGAGAGACCACAGGGCATACCTGGAAGCCTTTCTATTTGGATGTCTGAAATCGGTCTTAGCCTGAGAGCCACTGGCTCAAGCTACCTCCCTGTCCATCCTGAATAATGGACACTGACCTACAGAAGTGTGACAACCCCAGACTACGGGGGCTCCATTTCTGAGTCACTTTGAACCACCCTGGCCAGGTTTGGGTGTGAACTGCTATCCACTAACAGGGTCCAAGGGCTTTGATTTCATCCTCTCTCCCTCCCTCCCGTTAAGGGTCCTTTCTCAGGAGGACAGAATACACAGGAAGCAGAGGGAGGGGAAAATTCTCCCAGGAGAGGGGACTCCAGCCCAGAGCGGGGCTGACTCCTCATTTCTAGGCCGGGGGGACACGCACTTACTTTCATCAGCATAAAATCCGGCGGGACAGAAGGTCACACAGGTGTTCACCTCCTGATGGTGGTAGAACCCACGGCGGCAAGACAGGCACTGGGTGGAGCCCCGGCCCGAGCAGGTCTCACACCCCTTGTGGCAGCGGCGACAGCGGCGGGCTGCCATGTCCCCAAAGTAGCCCAAGGGGCACACGCTCACGCACTTCCTGTGGGAGCAGATCGGTAGAGGACTTTCCTACTGGCCCCAGCCCCACGCCTACCCAGCAGCACAGGGGTCAGGCCGAGGCAGGGCAGCTGGCCGGGAGGGAAACCTTAGCTGCCTCCCCATCAGCAGACTCCGAGGAAACAAAGGCCCCAGGGCAGAGGTAAACCATTAATGCCCCTGAGAAGTTCCTGATGCAGGAGAGGGTTGAGGGCTTCCATGGGAACCTGGGACTCCTGCCCTTTCAAAGTTTCCCCGAGGTGGGCGGGGGCACTCGCAGGTTGTGCTTGGCTTCCTTGGGCAACACCATGATGGTATCTGACTTTTGGAATGTTCAGCTCCGGCAAAACCCCACTGACAGTGCCCACGGGCAGTGAGCGGTCTCCAGGCTGTGTCCAGCCAGCAGAACAAACGTCTTCGCACAGTGCAGGGAGGTTGCGGCTGTGTCTGGGCCCCGGGGACACCGTGAGAGTCCCAGCCACACCCCTGCCAGAGCCCTGGTGGGTGTGTGGTCCCCAGGAGGGCTGCAGTCCTACCCGGGCGCTCAGGGATGGGGGTTCCTCATTCATGGCCGATTGTGCTGACGTTTAGAACAGTACTGGCCCTTAAGATGACATTTGTCTGCAGTTCCCAAGTGGTTGTCATGCTCAATACAACCCATTTTTGTTTAGCAAAATGGAGAGAAAAAAGTTTATAAGCACAGACAAAACAATGCCACGGCCTCTGAGTTCTCTGTCATGGTCACGAGTTATTTATGAGATGAGAATAAAAGGTTACAAAAACATAAAATTCCCAAGCAGTGACCCTCAGGGTGATCTCCTTTCCGGGGTGTTTGGTTAATTCCTAAGTATGGTGCCAGGCTGCGGGGGTGGAGAACACAGCTTGGCCACCTTAGCGGGACGCTGGGCGTCTCCAGGACACGCAGGGGAGGCCCAGCCCTTTACCTGCTGGTCTTGACGCTCCCCAGGCTGAAGTGGACACAGTTCAAGCACTGGTCTGCATTAGGGCCATCACAGCCTTTGTCACCACACTCCGGATGGCACACACCTTAAAGAAACAAGCATTTCCTTTCACCCATAGAGATGCTTTCTCAATCACGTCCAGTCTCCTAGGACCCCATGTCCAAGTCTCACAGGCCCCTGCTGGGCCAGAGCACCCACCCCTGCGGGACCCGCCTCAGCTGGGAGCCAAGCCTGGCTCTGGGCTCCAGTGTCAGAGGGTCTGATGACTCGAGACAGGGACGGCCCGAGGACAAGCAGGACAGCCGGTGGTGGGTGAGGAGCCGGGTGGGTGAAGGCGGGCATTGTGAGGTTCTAGAGGAGCAGCCATGGTGGGGCGGGAGGGGCAGGGGACAGCCGCATGCAGCGCCCTCCCCTGCAGCGGAGTTACGATGCTGGACCAGCCACCAACTCTGATTTCCATCGTGAAGGACAGAGCAACCTGATACGGGGCGTTGAGGGCTTGAAGGCGCTAAGGAAACTGCGGCCAAGCAGTGAAGATCCGACGGAAACTAAGCGGGAGAGGCTGGAATAGAATGCGCCATGTCCCTCACACGCAGTGAAGGAGGCAGGTGGGTTTCCATGTCCCTGGTGGGTCTGGGGTGGGTGGGAGCTGAGCCCTTTTCAGATCCCCTCTCTCTCACCCTCAAGGGGGGCATCCTGTCTTCCCTTGATCCCCAAATTCTAACTCTGGAAGCCTGTGTGGTGTTGTCAAAGTGACGGAGAAAAATGCAGGAACTGGGGGACCCCATCGGGCCCCCTGTCCTAGGTCTCCCCTCCACCTGTGCCTCGGGGAAGAGCCCAGTTTGATTGGCTCTTGCCCTCAGGCCGGGCGGCCCCTCCATAAGTGTCCTCCTCACCTGGGGGCCAGGGCCGGTGCTGTGCTGGGACCCCCACCTCCCTTGGCCCCCGACGC